TAGTGAATACTACGACTCCCTGTAGTATTACAACAACCTCCCTCTAACTAGTGAGTACTATGGCTCCCCGTAGCATCACAACATCCTCCTCTGAGTAGTGAGTACTACGGCTCCCGGTAGTATCACAACACCCTTTGACTAGTAAGTACTACGGCTCCCCGTAGAATCACCACACCCTCTGACTAGTGAGTACTACGGCTCCCCGTAGCATCACCACACCCTCTGACTAGTGAGCACTACGGCTCCCCATAGCATCACAACACCCTCTGACTAGTGAGTACTATGGCTCCCCGTAGCATCACCACACCCTATGACTAGTGAGTACTACGGTTCCCTTTAGCATCACCACACTACGTCCATTAACTCATGCTCCGCGATCTAACATAAATAGATGCCCACACTCATCCAAATCATGCATCAATATTTCTGGCAACAACCGCCAGAACCAGAACACTTCTCCCCACTGCAATCAGAATTTCTAAATAATCCCTCTAGATGTCAATACCCGAAGGCTTCCATTGGAATCATAGATACTCGATACACCACTTGCCGTCACAAAGTCAAGACTCTTCGGAAATCAGGGCATTATACTCGGATCCCTCAAAACACCATTACAAAACATTACAATGTACTACCTCAACCCCTTATCTTCCGACTCTCAGCATCATGCAAATACAACAATCCATTCCCTACAAATCTCGTAATTAACCCTTCGTTTTACCCAATGTGCAACCTCGGTGTATCCAAACACTCCATTGGAACATGGAGAAATCGCTAACATTTCAGAAGGCGCTGATGACCATCCGAAGTTCTTTCCTTTACTATTCAAAACCCATACAAGAATACACATACCGATCCGGGAGTTGGCTGCCCGATCATCTCCTATATACCCCAAAGGGCATATAATAATCCATACATCGAACCATAAGTCCTCAATTTCCAACACCCTCCTTACGAGCTTACCAGCTTGAACATACCTAACCACCACCAGATTCCTAACCTATAGCCACCTGTCGTGGAGACACTCATCCGTTCTCATGCATTATCTCGCTCTACACTTCGTTTCAACCACTAATAACCCTGTTCTCATGAATTCGAACCGCAGGTCTTTATATCCAGGTCTCTAACTGCTCTTGAACAAGTCTCTGGTCCCATCAATAAAATACCCAGTTTTCCACCACTAGGGTTCGAACCATCCCAACTGACGTACTAACAATCTGTTATACAGACTGTTTCCACCAATAACATCGCACCTACACTTGGAAGGTACTACACAATGCCCGATGATCTCCCCTCATAGAGATCAAGCAACCCCAATTATCCTGACTCTCCAAAGAAATCCCCAGGAACTTCTGATAACGACTGCCTCTAGTCCTTCCAATACCTCATACCACTCCACTACCGGACATTTCAACTATCCAATAATAATCTAACTATCAGACTGGAAATACTAAATCACCATACTGCTCATCCTCGACTTCTCAACCAACTTGTGAATCATCACTGGAACAGGGACTCCACTCCCACACTCAATACCCATAATAGACAAAAGACCCACCACCCTGTTGTACTCTTCTGGATTACCCGTTGTTACGGCTAACACACGCCCTATTATACTCAATTAGGGTGCATTCAAGCCCTAGAACATCTTAACCCCAACTGACAACCTGCTCACGATATATCATTATCTCGCAGCAGACATGCCGCCAGATACTCTTGTGGGATATCGTCATCACTATCAACCCGTAAGGTTTATTCCTCACCCCAAACCAAAGTCTCACTCCTCTTATGTTTTTTCACCGAAAACTGGAATAACACTACTCAGGTCACAGAAGGTAACATCTCTTTTATCGGCTGATTGCTCATCTCAGGCTGCAATTCTCCATGCAATCCATCTCTACTCATCCTCGAGTCTTGCGACTCTATCTGACATCTAACCAAATATACCTTGGAATTATCTTGACCCTCCCCCCTCTCAAGGGATGCTTCTATGAACTCATTCATGATGGCCTTCTGGCCTCATATACTATCGTATCTGATCCTCACCAATCAATCATGACTGGTTAACCGAAGAACCACAAGTATCCTTGCCACAAGTCATGGTACTTAATCCAGGACATCACCTCTCATTCTGTTACAATGCACAGTACCCAGACCATGGCATCACTCCTCAGTCTGCTACGGTGCATGGTACTCGAACCATGACATCATTCCTTGATCTGCTATGATGCATGGTACTCGAACCATGACGTCACTCTTCAATCCGCTACGATGCATGGTACTCGAACCATGACATCACTCTTCAATCCACTACGATCCATGGTAGTCGAACCATGACGTCACTCTTCAATTCGTTACGATGAATTGTACTCGAACCATGACATCACTCTTTAATCTGCCACCAACCATGGTACTCGAATCATGATGACTCCTCTCGATCACCTCTAGGTCTCTCATCCCTACTTGTTTCCCTAGTACCCTAAGGATTCTTACTTGGACTGCTCATTGATCCGGTGTCTTCAGTCGTATGGGCCATATACTACCCCCACACTGCATCAGTATTCATCCCAAGTCCTCCTCCTAGGATCCCAGATCACAAGTACTCTGATCTCGCTATGCATAGTATACTCTCCAACAGACCTCTCATAAGCTCCTCGCTGCTACTTACTCACTCTCAAGAATCTCATAGTAGCAGAAATCTCCTAGGCTAAGGCATCACAAATCAGGCCACTCTAGTCGTAATATGATTACATATCCTACTCTTACATGCATATCATATTATATCATAACTCATAACACATAATGTAAGGGTATTTTGGGAAATCACCGTTCGGGCGCTGCTCTGCTCTTATCAAACCTTTTACTCTTTTAGAAAAACTTTTTTTATTTAAAAAAAATCTCTTAAATCCTCAGTTTGAGTTCAAATACGCCCGAAGGTGGATCCGAATCCCTCAAACTAAGGCTCTGATACCAACTTGTAACACTGTAAAAATTTAAAATAATTTTTCATAGTTTAAAGCATAATTTTAGACACAATATTAAAAATCTCATTGTTTCTCATAACAAAAAAAAAAAGTCAAAAGCCCAAGATCATAACATATGTAAAACTCTGCACATGTGTGTAGTGATCATGTCGGCGCCTTCCTGCGATCCTCATTGGTACCTGAAACACATCACACAAACATAGTAAGAACAAGGCTTAGTGAGTTCCCCAAAATACCACATACAACACATACGCCACTCGAGGCAACTGTACGACCCTCTGGTCGATGTGTCTCAGCGGGACCCTCCAGTCCCGTAGATCATTGGACTCTCTGGTCCGGTCATAGCTCGTTGGGCCCTTCGACCCGGTCTGTCTCGTTGGAACCTCTGGTTCGGTCTGAATCGTTGGACCCTTCATTCCGATCTATATCGTTGTACCCTCTGGTCTGGTCTATACAACACATAACATAATCATAACACATAGCACATAAACACATACATACTCATAGCATATATGACCCTCTGGTCTACACGTAACTACCACTTTAGGTAATGTATAGTGAGAAGACTCACCTCAGGTGAAGAACAGCTCCTAAAAACGCTACTGCCATGCACCAGCCTCTAACTCTGTACCAAACACACAATTATCTCAATTAGGAGCTAAGTCTAACTTCCCACTTATCAGGTCAAAGGATAGGCCACCGACGAGCCCACCAATGCCCTAAGCCCATTGGGCCCACCAAGGCCTAATAATAAATGGGCCCACACACAACCCAATTCCTAAACAGAAAGGCAAGCCCACCCCAAGGGCCCTAAGCACAATTATACCCTCCCCTGGTCCAAAACTCTATTGCGTGACGTCCAAAATCCAGGCCCAAATCCTAAAGCCCAACACAAAGCTTAGCCCAAAAACCCCCAGAAGGAGTTACGCGGGGCATACCCCCTTTGGTACGCTCGGCGTACCTAGACGCGCATTGATCTGATCGGGGCCTCAAACGACTACGCTGCGCGTTCCTAGACTTACGCCCAGTGTAAGTCCCAGACTTACAATTCCTCTTATTTTGATTTGAATGGGTTAACACAAAACCTCAAAACTCAGATCTGGACATTCCTCAGTCTCCCAAACCATAAAGTCGACACCTTTTAGGCCTTTGCATGGCTGAAAAGGTTATAGCTCACTTCAACCTTTTATCCCCTTTTCTCTTTATGACCAAACTCATGCATGACTCCATAACCATGACCACTACTAGAAAAAAGCCCTTTAATGACGCGCAAACAACAACACGCGCTGACAGTGGACACGCATTTGTGCGTGCCCTAAAAAATAATGTCAGCTTTGCAAAATGTGAAGGATAGAAGACACACATTTTTTGCGCGCCCTAAAATTAATGTCCAAAAAAAACAAAGAGGGCGCCTACCGTAAAAGGCGTATCGTGTAAAGATGTCATTTTATATTTTTTTAGGAAGGCGCGTTCTCGCTTGTTTTTTCAATCGACGATGGTAGGAAATGAAATCCCAAAAAATTAAACACCCGCCTAATGCTTCTTCTCCTTCAACAATCCTCTAACAAAGAACCCTAACCCTAATTCTATTGTGAGGCCCTAAGCCGCCATCACCAGTATCAAACTCCATCACCAACATTGAATCCCAAAAAATTAAACACTCGCCTAAGCCCGTCTTCCAGTACCTTGATCTGTACTCTCTCTCCTACTCTTTGCAAGCCCTAAGCCACCATCACCAGCATTGTACCCCATCAGCTCTAAGCAGCCATGGATTCTGTAAAGAGTGTTTGTCTCGTATGTCTTCATTAGCGCCATCAGACACTACTCTTCTCTATCCACGATGTCGTCGAGTCTCCGTATGTTTTCATCAGCGCCATTCGACGAAAAGAGCTAGGGCTTTGAACCACATCTCAATAAATTTATCAACGAGATCCAACAGCTCCTCTCACTCAAAACACCTTCGATTGAAGGTTATGTGACTCCTTACTCTCCTTATTCTCTCCTCTTCGTTGTCGTATGTCGCCCTCCCTCGCTGTCTTCTTCTATCTATGCCCTTCTACTTCTCCCTCGCTGGGGGCCATGATACCTTCAATTTTCGTTTGCATTTCATTAGCTAATTTGTTTCTTTGGGATGCGAATTCAAATCACATGTTCTTCTTTGGCATTTTGGAGGTGGAATTCAGGTTGTATTACAGGAGAGTGGAGGAAGGGAAACAATATCCAATACTCTGTAGGAGATTAGCTAGCTTAAACGAAGAGTTCATTTCACATAAAAGTCCAACAGGTGGGTTCGATTTCATCTCCGGGAAGAGGATTGAACAAAAACTCATCGATTACAATCAAGAAGCAGAAAGATTTTCGGGAAATTCCAATTCTAGTATCATTTCAACATCTCTCAACAATCTCTAATTCTCTTCCACTTCATTTAATCTCTTAACATGACTTGATTTAGGTTATGCATATGAAGAGATATTAGAAGTCTCACCTCATCATCGATTCATTGCATACACCATGTATGACAAAGACAACGATTTCTTCAAATTATGTGTGAGAGATTTGAATTCATGTTCTCTTTGTAGCAAGCCACAAGCTGATTGGGTCTGTAATGTGGCATGGGCTAAAGGGGGTCAATCATTGCTATATGTTGTCACTGATAAAAAAAAGAATCCTTACAGGTATCCTATATAAGTATATACAACTTTTTCTAAACTCTATATCTCTTATCTAATTTAAACATTTTATATTTCTTGTATATGATTGTAGGATATATTGTAGTATGCTTGGATCAAAGGATGAAGATGTGATACTCTTAGAAGAACCTAAAGAAAATGTGCATGTTAACATCAGATATACCAAGGATTTTAAGTTTGTGACTGTTTATGTGTTTTCAACCACATATTCAAAGGTATTATTATATACTAGCTTTAATTGTTTTTATTTCATTGATTTTTCTTTCAAGAATCATTCAAACTTCAAATTCTTTAGGTTTTTCTTGATCAATGCAACTGATCCTCTATTTGGTTTAACACTTGTGTAGGAATGTGAAGCTTGTGCACATTGCATTATCGAGCATCATCAAGGCTATCTTTATCTTTTTACCAATGCTAACAAAGAAGGGCAATCAGTAAATTACCATTATATCCTTTGTAGCCCTCTTCACTCTTCAAGTCCAAGAAAGTGGGAGGTTAGACTTTCTTTTGAGATATGTTGTTTTTTCTTAATGAAAAAAAAAAGACTTTCTTTTTACCTTTTTTTCAAATGTTACAGAATGTATTTATTGATAACAATGATTTGGTGATTGAGGATGTTGACTTTTGTGACACATTTGGTGCTTATTGTTAAAGAAGGTGAAAGATTCAGGCTTAGTTCAGTTGCATTGCCTCTTCCAAGAAATAAGTTTTTTTTTTTTTATAGTTTTATTAATGTTATGATGATTCAGATTCATATATTGTTATTTTCCTTTATTGGGTATAAAAATTTGAGACATTTTTGCCCTTTTGTCTAACAGGATGTGTTCCATCTTAAAGAGTTGGGATTACATTTTCTTCCTCTTCAAGAATCTGTTTCCCAAATCTCACATGGACCAAATTATGACTTTTATTCACCAATCATGCGATTTACAATTTCATCACCTGTGGTATGTTTCTGTTAAAATTTTATGACGAACAAGCCCTTACTTTTTGTTTACCATCTGAATTTGTTTTCTTTTCAGATGCCTGATGCAGTTGTTGATTATAATTTATCAAATGGGGAATTTGAAATCATTCAACAACAAAACATGCTTCAAGAAAGAACATGTGTTTTATATGGCACAGCTTCTGTGGGACCCACAATAGATAATAAATCAAATAGTAATAACTATGGGGAGTCAAAGTCATGGAATGATCTTTCTGAGTTTTATGGTTGTGAAAATCATTAAATGGTTTCTAGTGATGGAGTCAAAGTTGGTTTGACTATTGTTTATTCACATAAAAGGAAAAAAGGTGAAAATCCTGGATTGCTTCATGGACATGGTGCTTGTGGTGAGTTGCTTCATAAAAAATGGTGTAATGAGTCAAAAAGTCTTCTTAATCGTGGTTGGATTCTTGCATATGCTGATGTTAGGTTAGTTTTTTTTAATTATTAAATCTTGTTCAATAATTAATATTGTTTTTTAATATATTTATATAGGGGAGGGGATTATAACAAAAGGGAAAAATGAAAGAAACAACACATTTTTATTTTACTTTCAAAAAAGGTCATAAAAGACCTTATATATTGAGTTTTTCCAGGATAAACATCATTTTATTTTTGAAGATCTTGTATTTTTCCATTTTTCCAAAAAAGCCCTCAATTTTTTTTTCTTCCAAAAAAACCCTCTTTTTTCTGAAAAAAACCCTCACATTTGACAAGTTTTTTGGAAAGTAGCTGCTAAAAGGGCCAAATTGAAAAAAATGAATAAATACAAGGTCTTTTTCTGAAAAAAGTAACATTTAAAAATTGTACTTTTCATAAAAAAATTATACTTTAAAAATTTACCAAACTACAACACTTTTAATAAAAAAATCTTATTAGAACATTCTACTTTAAAAATTGTTTACATTACTATAATTTAAAAAAAAATAATCGAAAGTACGTTGCTATTTATTGTATATAAGTATATAACCCAAAACAAAACATTATTATTATTTGTTTTTTTTAATAGTTTTGTTGTATTTTCAGTTGTGGAGGTGGGAGAGGAAAGAAATGGCATGAAGATGGAAGAACTATTAAAAAAAAATTCAATTAATGATTATATTTGATGTGCAAAATTCCTAATTAACAATAAAATTATACACCAAAATAAATTAGCAGGTTGGGTAAATTAGTAAAATAACATATAATTTTTAATATTAGATAAAAAAATTAATAAAAAATTGATATATTCCTAATTCAAATATCTTTATGTTATATTATAATAAGGAAAAACTATTCATTAAATGTATGTGTGGGATATCAAACTTCTATGTGAAAAGTAAAAACTACATAGGCACCTACCCGCTGTTTTTGTCTTTTATTTAATTGTTTATTTATTTTCATTAATGTCTTGATTTGTTTAGTCTTATGACTTGGATATCTGAGGAACTAAAGTTTAGTTGATGAACAAACCGATCAAAATTAAAAGAAAGGTTTGAAATCAGATTGCTTAGAATGACCAAAAGATTAGAAATCAGATTGCATGCAAGTTGTTTGATCAAATGCCCGAGAGAGATTACCTTCTTTATATGTGATTAAATTTCCCATTTTTAAAAAAAAATTTAGCAAGTGAAGTTTCAATTTTACAATTAAATGAAAACAAAATCAACCGCTTAGACTTTTATTCATTTTTTTTTTATAAAAATGTATGTTTTTCTTACCCGCCATTCCTGACATTGGATAGCTTGCATGTCCATGACACGTGACAATATTAAATACATCAAATACATGTATTCTAACATCGCTGGCTTTTTGTTGTGTTATAACAGGTTCTACTTGGAGTGCCTCACAATTCCTATATTTTTTGTTGGATTTAATCTTCCCAAGGTAAATCTAAGTTCTAATATATTGCAACTAACATACTTGCAGTTTATATCATCAAAATCTAAACTACATGCAAGGAATATGTATAGTGTTTTTTTTGTTGCTGCTATTGACTCGTTTACCCTTGAGTATCCATTAATAAGATAATGTGAGTTAGTAGTTGTTAATGATTCAGATCTTTGTAATATGCTTTTGCAAGGCAATTTCTTATATTAGGCAGCCAACAGCTCCCTAACCCTTGTTCAGGTTGGTTTTAGCTTTCCAGTATAGTGTTCCTTATGATGGAATCATGGCTCATTCCATCACAACAGAAAAAAAAATTATTTGCTTTGGGGGATATTCGCATAAAAACCCTAAATTTTTTCAGAAAAATACGGTTTTACCCTAACATCACTTTTTGGTGGGTTTAGAGGGTGCTGCTTTCCCATAAAGACCAACCTCTGAACTCAACAACCAGATAAATTAGAAAAGGGTATAATGGGAAAACCAATACTTTTTTTGATTTGGAATTGCTTCTTCATATATTTTTTTTAATGAACAAAAGGGTATAATGGGAACACCAATATTTTTTGTAAGTGGAAAGATAAATTAGAAAAGTGGATGATTAGCCTCTGTATGATGAAATTGTTTTGGAGTTAGACCAAATGGAGAAAGTATCTGATATAGAAGATATCTTGAGTTACAGTCCTGCTGCTGAACTTAAGCTTCAGGCATGATTATGATCATTGTTGTTAATATCTATTACATGTTCTTTTTTACTTATACATTATGTTAAAGACTATGAACATGTAGGAGTTGTTGGTGGATTCGGCTTCTGGTTTTGGAAATAGTGAAGCATAATATATATATATATATATATATATATATATATATATATATATATATATACATATATATATACATATATATATATATATATATATATATATATATATATATATATATATATATATATATATATATATATATTATAGTTTACAAACTGTAGAATGTGTTCAGTAGTGAATCTCATTGAGACAAAATATATATATATATATATATATACATATATATACATATATATACATATATATATATATATATACATATATATATATACATATATATACATATATATATATATATATATATATTATAGTTTACAAACTGTAGAATGTGTTCAGTAGTGAATCTCATTGAGACAAAATGGTAAATCTGCAGGTGGTTCAATCAATGTCATTTAGTAATATTTGGAATTACAGCCTTTGTAAGTTTGACTAAAACCTTCTAATTTTGTTTACTTTTTAACTTTGTTTTTGGTTTCATCTAGTAATAAAGTATCAACTATCAACAGTTATGTGGTAGTAATCCTTCTGAGGGGGTGTTTGTTGGGCTGCTTCTTTCAATGTAATTAACAATAGTGGTAAATAAAATCTTACTATTATGAAAATCTTTTGCTTAAACCTACCTTATTGACCTGTAGCTGATTAAACATTAATTTAATTATGCAGGTTTTGAATTTTTTGATGGAAAAGAATAGTGTTAATGCTCTTCATAGAAAAATATGTTGGTAGTTTAGGAAATTTGGCTAATAATTTAGTTAATTATATAAAAAATGTTGAAATGTTACATTTATCTACTATTGGAATGATTATTTGATGTATTACATTTGTCTACTATTGGAATGATTATTTGTATGACATTAACTTTTGTGCAATGTATTGTATTTTTTGTATTATGAGACATGAAATGCAAATTTAATTTGAAAATCAGTAAATCTATAAATAATTTTTTTAAAAAAAAATTAAAATTACGATACGCAAAAATGTGTGTCGCCTTCATTTATGACATGACCGTTCTTGACAGGGGCTTTCTTGATACGCATTGCGTGTCATTAACACACGTGTTGTAAGGTTACGACACGCGAATGCGTGTCATCTTCCTTTATGACAGAGCCTTCCTTGATACACATTGCGTGTCGTAAACGCGCATCGTAATTGCACGTCATAATTGCGCGTTGTAAATGCGCGTCGTCTATAGATGACGCGCAAAAGCGCGTCGTCTCTCTTTATGACAGGGCCTTCCTTGATGCACATTTGCGCGTCGTCTGATCCTTTTACGACGCGCAATGAGCGTCGTAAAAGGCTGTTTTTCTAGTAGTGGACCAAGATTGGATTTTTATGGCTGTACAACACACATATCACTGAAATGGGACAGACCTAGGTCCATGGAGTCCCTTTTGCTCACAAAGTCTCGATCTTTGGGACTTAAACCCTAGAAATGGACTATGAAGCATAAAACATGAAGGGCAAGGAAAGCTAGGAGTTGTATCGTGGTTAAGCCCCTGGAATCTCTAGACATAACTCATTAACTCTTTTGAGCCTATGATTATTATGGATAACGCTATCGGGAGGTAGACAACTCCTCACTCGTACGATTCGCTTGAGTGCATTTTACCATTTTATACACTATGTTTGCGATCCACATAATAGTCAATAGGGCACGATTCGGTCATTAGGCTTGGGTTGTGAACTCATGAATGGAAACTTGATGCACATACGAATCTTTATCCACATATGAAACCTATATTCTCATGTTAGCAACGAAACTTGTATACTTATTTTAGCAATGATAATTTTATGCTTACTATAGCAACGAACTTTGTTTCTCATTATAACAACGAACTTTTATTATTGGAAACTTATACACATGTTTTAACAATGAAATTGTTTGCCCCTTGTGGCAACGAAATTGATTGCTTATTTTAGCAATGAAACTTGTTTACTCGTTTGAGTAATGAACTTTATCTTCCATGAGAATATGAATGTTGCATCTCATTTGGGCAATATACTTTATCTCTCATGGTGACAAAGAACTTTATTTCTACAAACTTATTTACTCATTTTAACAATATACTTTTATTATTGGAAACTTTTATCAAAACATTGATTTCAATTCATGAAACCAATATTTTTTTGTTTATCTATGAGTACTCACCAACTATTTTTATAGTTGACGCTCGTTTTACATTCTTTTTCAGGAATCATCAAGTAAGTGGCACGTAGGGACACATCACTATTAGGAGCATTGGCGTGTGTTGTATTTCAATTTACATTGTAATTTATTTTAAAATTTATTCAATCCCATTGTAAATTTGTAATGATTTTAAATACTATGGTTGGTGTTGTCTTTTAACTTTTGCTATGAAACCCTTTATACTGCCACGCCTCGTCTTTTCGCTTTAGCGGGGTGTGATAGAAAATGGTATCAGGGCCGAAGGTTATAGAGAATACTGGTTTTCCATTGGAGAACCACAACTATAGCCAAAAAATTTCAAAATGTTTTTAAAATACTGAACATACTACTACTATAACTAATTCGAGTACACATTATTCGACTTTA